TCTTTTTTTATTTTTTTTATTTGAAAAATTACTGACAAAATATTTTTTATTATTAATCAAAATATATTTCATCAATAATATTTTTTAAATGTAGGTACTTTTTTAGTATATTTGTTTCATTTATATATGTAAGTACTTTTATGGTTCAAAAAATGTTTAGAGACTTAACCGCTGAAAATATAAATGTTTATTGGTTTTTTTTCCAGATTTTTTTTATTATTTTATCACATTAATCAGTTTTATAGGTCATAAAGATGTATCTAACAGGTTATAAAAAGTTCAAGGATTTATTTAACAGGTTTTGCAATGTCCAAGGACTTATCTGTTCCAAAAAATTGTCAAAAGACTTAATCATTTCAAATAATAAAGTCCATTGAGTTTTTTTAGACTTTTCTCTAAATTCAAAGCACAATTTAGATCCAACTTATACTATATTTCTAATATTTCACAAAAACACTAGATACTACAAAACTAAATATAAAAGAGACTAATTGGACATGTTGGACAAATAAAATAACATAAAAAGATAAAAAAAAAACAGATGTAATAGAGAACTCTATCAAAAATAATCACCATGAGGATTGTTTTCATCCATGTCGGATACATTATCTTCAATACTTTTTCAAAATATACATTACAGGAGGAAGTGTGTAAAACATTTCAAATCTGAAAAAGAGAACTCGCCAAAAAATAATCACCATGAGAAAGAAATAGTTTTTATTTAATTCAAAAACCTTGAAATTAAATATTTAAATGAAAGGAATTATATCGTATCAAACATATAGACCAATTTAATGACACAATATTTCAACCTTCAGAATGAAAAAACCAGTTATATTTTTTAAAATTTGGATTTTGATTCTCTGTTTTAAAATATCTGTTAGAGATGGAAAGTATACATATAACGAAAAGTTGTGAAATTATAACGATCACCTACAAATAACCCAACAATTATACATAGTCCATAAACAAGAGGACCATCAGCGCACATCGCAAATATCATTTTGCACAATAACAGAATCTTAAAAACTATATTCTGTATCAAGTTTTTAAAAACATCAAACCTCAAAGTACCAGAAGTTGCTAAAAACTCTCACAAAGCTTTAGATGTAAACTACAAGCTAACACGAAAAAACGACATTTTTCCAAACTTGATGGTCTCGAATCTCGTTAAAAGACCTCATCTCAGATTTAATATCGAGCATGTAACAATGGAATGAAAGATATATGACTATCAGTGCCGACCATTGCTGTTGTCCCTCTCCATTTCTTCGGCGTCCTCGAACCGTTGGTCATTTATTTGAAGCTGCATGGCACATTTTGAAACAATGTTTATCGTTAGCCAAACGAATCAACATGACAAAACAACGATAATAATCGCAAAGCACAAAGTATAATCACGATCGTTTGGAGCAATTTGCATAGGATTTTATTAGAGGGAGTACCAGACACATATGAGGATTGTTTTCATGCATGGGTGCCGAATGCCGACTACAATTACATCCCCCCCCCCCTTTATCAGTTCTTAAAGTATAATGGTTCCTCAACATGTATAATCCAAATATAATGGTGAAAAATGCTATTCTATTGCTTGGCTTATAAGAATATGGTTTCTTTACCAACCGGTATTCAAACAGAAAAGATGGTATTCCTAACCATCAAAATAGCACTTGTAATGAATTCAATGATAAATGAAAATGAAATTGGATTGGCAAAGTTGATCTGGTTTATTGTTCAAATAAGCTTACCCAATTAAGGGGCTGTTGGCTTACTGGGCTGTATGATATGGTAAACCATACATACCTGTTTGGAAGTAGCACAGTGGATTATGAAGGCATGAGTATGATGCTATTATCTCCTGCTGATTAGGGCTCGCTCTCCCCATCGACCTAGGACAAGCACCGCAGAATTTATCCCACCAGCCTCCAGCTCCATCTCACTCGCCGGCATCAAAACCCACCTGATTTGAACCTCTCTCGAGTCTCATGTCCATACGCTTCTCCCCATTTTGATATATATATATATATATATATATATATATATATATATATATATATATNATATATATATATATATATATATATATATATATATATATATATATATATATGCGTGTGTGTGTGTACACTCTTGTTCAGTTGTTTGTTGTGGTATGAAGCTATGAAGCTATTGTCTCCTGCCTTGAATCCTTGATTAGGGCTCTTTGTTTGTTGCCATTTTGTTCAAGCATAGATTTTGTGAATAATATAGGGCCAGTATTATTTACACAGTAGGTGTTTGATGCAATGTCTAAAATAAATGTGGTGTCTATAATTTCAATAGTATATGGGTACTTTAGATTAGGGAATTTTTCAAAATTAGGGGTAAAATAGTAATTTATAATACCATTGAGACCTTTGTTCAGCACACAAAGCAAACAACAATTTAGCTTAATCCATACAAGGCTGAATGGAAAAACAACCGAACAGCCCCTAAGAACTTTAGCTATTTAGCCTAAAGAGCTTCCTAACTTGGAAGCTAGAATGAAGAACGACATTTCTTATTCACTCCATTCTACAATTATATTCACAAATGTTGCAAAATCTGAATTTACTTGAACAAAATAAAAATCGATATCACCGCAAGTAAGACATAGCATCATTTCACACCAAAATTCTACCCTTAATGAGACTCTCACTTTGGACAAAAAGAAAATATCCAATTCAATTTTGTTATTGCTGAATACTAAAAAATATGGAGACAAAATTTAAATCTTGTTTTCTACTAAGAATTGTAAGGTTCATCACTTAATTTTGTGAATATAAATGTTAAAAAGAATGAATCAGGTTTGCAATTATTAAAAAAACAGCCAATAGTCCAATCAAGCATGCAGGAGTTGCACACTCATTGCTTGCTCTGGCCATCGGGCTACTTATTTGTGCAGATAAAAAATAATGGAATAAAAAATTGCAGACATACCTCGAGCACATTGCGTGCTAGGTCATGATCTCCATTCGGATGACCAATTGTGCTGAAACCGGTCGGTGAAGAATCCCATTCTAGATCAACTCCATCTACACATGCCAGTAAGTTGCATAAGATAGGATTAACCACACTAGATGGGAAAAAGTAATTACCAAATAGTATATGTAGAAAGCATTAAACCTATACCCATTGCAGGTCCCAACTGATCAGCACTGAATATCCAATTGTGCTCTTGCTCATCCTCTGAAAAAAGAGCTAAAATGTGAGTAAGCAACTGGCAAAAAGTTCTAAAGAGCTTGAAAAAAATAGGACTATTCAGACAAGCACTCCACCTTCAACAACAGGTTCAGGGTTTAGCTCCGCACACTCACAAAAAACCTCGAAAAGAGTATCCACTATCAACCAAAAAAGTCTATCAGTTAGGACTTAAGAAGTAACATCATAATAAGGAATGATGTAGTGCAACTATGTATATAGTCAAGTGAGAGATATACATTGATTAGGGTCCGAAGGCACCAGCCTCATCTCAGTAATCTTTGATAAATCCAATGTCCCATTAGATTCGGAGTCAGAGCTTTCTGATTCATCATCTTCATCTCCTGTATCAATCTACGATAAACAATAAATTACATAGAAACAAACACATATACAATACAGAAGGATATCATTTTGTAGAAAAAGAAAAGCCAAGGGGTTATCATGATTTATACAACAATTCAACAAAGATACCGCACATACATATAATGAAGAAACAATTCCCTTGATCACAAATAAATAAATTTACTCATTTACGACAACAAGTCAATCATTCAAGAGAAGTTCACCTTTCAACCCTAAATATAACAGAAATGTATACACACTTGTTCCCCATGTATACAGTTCATTTTGTACCGACGCTTAGTTTCCAAAATAAATCCTCATTAATAATATTCTATGATGTATAAATTGCACAGAAGCTTCATTCATACCAAAAGGTTATAACAAGAAGGTTTATTACTTCCATTGTCTAAACCAAAAATTTATAACCAAAGGTGAGTAGCATCCGCACAAAAACTCCTAAGAACTCTTTTATATGAAACCACATAGTTGCTTACAAACATCTATAACATCTTACATTCTTTTTTTGCTTCAACATACTAAAAACAGATTTAATATCAAATTGAGTTGACTATAGAGACAGAACATTGTCTTAAAAGAGGAGCAATTGCACTTGGTAAGTTAACAAGTTTCTTCATAAAAGAGCATCTCTAACAGCTATGCTATGATTTTTCTAAAATAGAGTACCGAAAAACCACAACTTCTAAAAAATACACCCAACTCCAACCGCTACTCTATTTTAGCAATTCCAACATTGATTATATTATTAAAATAATTTAAAATGTATCATCCCAATACACTTTCTAGAAAAAAGTTTATAAGAAATTACATCACATTCAATCTCATTGGTGGAAGCAATTAGAATAATATCTCTCTCCTCAAAATTATGTTTTAGAGATCCCTCCAACTTTGGAGATTTCTACCTTCTCTCTTTTCTTTTCTCTATTTTAGCATACATTTTAGCACAGCTGTTAGAGCAAAAAAAACTATAAAATCTCTACCTCTGATGGTTGTCAGAGATGCTCTAAGCACCTAGCTACAAAGACATTATTTCATTACACTTCACCTTATTTTATGATCATTAACTTGTTAGAAACTATAGAAAGAAGTTGAAACTGCAATTTAGGAATCAAAACACCTAGATTTAAAGGCAAATTCATTCTCAGAGCTTACTTCATACGTGATGTGTTTGTTTAAGATTTGCATCACACAGTTGTCTGGATTGATAATTAGACACACATCTCAATTGCAATAAATGAAAAAAGAACATGACATGTATATGTTTTCGTAATTTGTTTACAACCACGTGTTTAGGATTTTGTCACAAGATCCTTGAATTGTGATGAAGAAAATTCATGGAGAAATCAATGTCCTTTCAGAGAAGAAAAATAAATTAGACTCCCTACAGGCCTACACCATCAGACATCATCAATAACCTAACCTTTTGATTACTTATGCATTGCATCAAACTGCAAGTACAAGTTTTTTCAGTAAAAGGTTTTCATTTCCAAATATTCTCAAACACCAGCACGATAAATTCAATAGCCACTAGCCAGTGATCAAAGACTGAATACTTATGGACTCAGTCCAACCTACGGTTAAGGATACCATAAAGTAAAACATCGATTCTTACTCAGGAATCGAGCTAAAAAGAAAGCCAAATCCTAAGTTGTTAAATACAACAAAAATATACCAAAAAACATACAGAGATAGTTGTTATAGAGACATACCTGTGTATATATGCATGGAGATGAAAAGGCCTCGGGGTCCCGAGACACCGCATGAAGCGAAACCGACAAGAAATCAACCGCGTAGCCTTTTGTCCTCTCTGTATCGCTCAACCATACCACTTGTCTAAAAAATTCCATAGATCATCAGGCATCATCGTCAATTCACTAACATACATACACAAACTGTACAAGTGTAAGAGGAGTTAGAGATTTACTTGGTGGAGATGTAAAGCGTGCCAGGAGACTCGGGAGGGCGGTTGCCGAGAACAATGGAGACGGATGGCTGAACGTGCATAAGCTCCTCGCCGTTGTCGGTATCGAGAATAGGTGCACCGGCTGCGCCATCGTTCGACCGCTCTGTGAAAACCCTTAATCCTGCCACCATGACTTCAAGTGTGTCTTAAACGGTTAAACCCTAGCTTTGCATCGTTCTGCCTCGCTGGGCTTCTTTTAGTTCTTTCAGACAATTCAAAGGCGATTTTTACATAAAGGAGGTGTCTTGAGATACCTTATTTAAAATAGATTCCTTATTTGAAATAACTTATGTATTTTTTATATATAAATGTGCTTATTAATTTATATGGTATTAAATTGAAGTTTTATAAAAAATATTTAAATTAGTTTGTGGTGGTATCAAAATGCAATAGATTGAAAAGTTATTTGTTTGGTAAAATTTGCTTATACATGTAAAATAACCAAAAAGGGGCATTCTTCCATATTATCTATATACTACATTAATAAGTATTTAGACCAAAAGTCTTAAGTATTTCCTCTAAAGCATTGAGTACTACAGACTAAAGCATAAATTCATAAAATCTCTTAATAACCACTCAAGAAGCATAATGTTCAAGTTATTAAAGCATACATTCATTTTCATTCTTATCATATTCCATAGTGATCAATAAATCGACTAATAAGTCGTTTCATGGCAGTTCCGTCTATCATTTTAGTGGAAAGTTTATTTCTCCAATCCAGACTTTCTTCTACCCTTGTCCAACTCCAAGATGCAAAAAAGGAGGATTATCTTCAAATTGGTTTTAGACCTTGCTTCAGACTTTCCTTCTACCCACACCACAACTGAGAATAGTAGCTTCAACATCCATTTGCATTCATGTGGAAAGTTTCTTTCTCTAGACTTTCCTTCTACCCATGCCACCACTGAGAATAGTAGCTTCAGACGTTGCTTTCCTGCTACCTGTGCACAAATGGACGATTTGATGTATCAAATTTCTCCTTGAACAGTTGTATCGCGTGGCTCCCAAGACGACCACATCGCTGCATTTCCATTTCCATTTCCATTTAATCTCATGGTTTTGCTTCAATCTTTTACTTTACTATGGGGGATCAAGCTCTGTCAAGCATTAGGGAATGTAAGAAAGAAAGAAAGAATGGGTTTAAATAGAAATACAATAAAATAAATGAAAATCTTAATAAATATTACCTTGATTAATCCTGATTCAGTACCACATAAGATCATGTCATTGGTTGTGAGCATGTTTGTGATCTTGCTGCCAGATAACCTTCCAACCTTATGTTTTGTCCCTCTCAGCCAAATCTGTTTTTTTAAATTACTAAACCATTAGGAGAAAGACTGTTTGTGTTCCCCAAAACAGAAGAGAGAGAACTTTATGAAGATATGGGTTAACCTTCCAAATCTGTTTTTTTTAATTACTAAACCATTAGGAGAAAGACTGTTTGTGTTCCCCAAAACAGAAGAGAGAGAACTTTATGAAGATATGGGTTAAAGGTTATAGATTTTCAAACAAGGTTGTCCCACTCTATTTGAAGATATGCCTGGAATTGAACAATTTTGGGTTTTTTTAAGATATGCCTAGAATTGAACAATATGTTGGATTTAGTTTTTAAGAGACAAGAACATGAACTATGGTTAGGGATTGTAATTCAAGATTGTGATTCTTGGAACCCAATAAAATCTTGTTCAAAAAACCAATAAAAATGGGATTTTTTTATGAGTTTTGAGGGATGTTATATGTTATGCTTTTGTATGATATAATAGGTGTATGGCTTGATTTGAAGTGGTCTGGACTGGAGAATTGATATATCAAAGTTAGGGTTTGGTCATAGTAATGGTGGCTTTTTTTTATGAGTTTTGAGGGATGTTCTATGTGTGTGTATATGAATGCTCATTTGTTGATCTACACAATTCTTTAATCAAGGTGAATACAAAATCATCATCATTAATTCCATTCACTCTATCACATTTTAAATCAGATATAGATAAAAGAACATATAATATATGTATTACAACTCCAAGTCTCTTATTGTGTCTGGATATTCATTTAAATGGACAGAAGAGGTACTGCAAAAGTGAGGGCTGGAGGTGTTAATTAACATGGGAGAAGGGGGAGTTTTATTATCTTTACATGTGTACTTCTAGGGGTTTTACGTTATCATGATTCATTTTTCCATTAAGACATGTTGTTTGTATGAATTAATCTATCTATATAGAATGAGCAGTTGATTGAATAAGCTGCGATTCTCATTAAGCTAATTAAGCTGCTAACAGACAGGCCCTTAGTGGATTACAGGATAAACCAGAAAAATTGGGGACTTTTCATGTTGGGTGGTCACGTATAACACAAAGCTGTTAATGATGTCCAATTGTCATATCAATGTTGCGGCTTGCTCGAGTATAACATCTATGAAGTATATCTTCAAGTATGTTTACAAGGGTCACGATAAAACAAGTTGTTCATATCGATTCAGATGAAGAAATGGTCGTTAATTACGAAATTAGAAGGTTCCAAGATGCACGTTATGTATCCCCTCCCGAGGCAATATGACGAATTTTTAGCTTCACACTTTCTCAAATGCACCCTTACGTGATGGCATTGCAACTCCATCTTCCTAACAAACATATGGTTAGGTTTAGAGAAGATGATATAATGATAGATATTGTTGATAAAGAGAGAGATAAGCGAACAATGTTGACTGCATTTTTTGGTAGAAATAAAACATAGATGAGTGTGAGACAATATTGGTACAAAGATTTTCCAAAACACTACACGTGGATTGTAGCTCACGCAGATGGAATCCCGACAACGAGGATCAATAAAAGGGCGACTGGTTTATGCAAATCCAGCTGAAGGAGAGCGGTTCTACTTACGCCTACTTTTGTCTCATATTATCGGGCCTACTTGCTTTGAAGATCTATACAGTTTCAATAGATTATTGCACCCTACATTTCGTAAAGCATCTCTTAAGAGAAGGTTAATAGAGAATGATGACAACTTATCCCAATGTCTTGTAGAGGTCTTCTTATTTCAATTTCCCGCTGCTTTTAGGAGGTTATTTGCCACAATATTGATTTATTGTGAGCCAGGAGATGTTCTCAAGTTATGGGATGACCACTATGATTCACATTTTGAAGATTATACGCGACAATGTGAAAGTGTTAATCGAGTCTGTAATATGGTTCTAATTGATATCCTCGTTTTTCTATAATCTATGGGTAAGAGTCTTGATGATTTTCATCTTCCAATGGTAGATGCAAATGTCGATTTTCAATCTAAAGAATTTCGTGAGGTACAAGAAGAATGCTCTATAGTTGTGGAAGACGAGCACTTGCGTGCCAGAGACTCTCTCAATTCCGACCAGAAATACGCATATGATGAGATCATGAGGCACGTTGACAATGATTGTCTAGGAGTGTTCTTTATAGATGGTCCAGGTGGAACCGGGAAGACATTTTTGTACAAAACTTCTCTTGCCAACATCCTTTCACGTGGTCTTATTGCTCTCGTGACCGCTTCGTCGGGTGTTGTTGCCAATAATATGCCTGGAGGGAGAACAACTCACTCTAGATTCAAAATTCCTCTCAACCTTGATAATAATTCAATGTGCAACCTAAAAAAACAAAGTGGTTTGCTCAATTGATTCGAGATGCAAAAATAATCATTTGGGACGAAGCGTCAATGGCAAAAAGGCAAGCAGTGGAGGCGCTCGATCAAACAATGCAAGACATCATAGGGGTGGCACTCCCATTCGACGAAAAGATAATGGTTTTGGGGGGTGATTTTAGACAAGTATTACCGTTTGTGAGGCGTGGAACCCGAGCACAAATTGTAGAATCTAGCTTACGGATGTCACCTCTTTGGTCAACAATTAAAAAGATACGGTTAACGCTCAATATGAAAGCACGCACTGATCCGTGGTTTTCAGATTTTTTATTAAGAGTCGGTGATGGAGATGAATAAGTGTTGGACGAAAGCTTTATTCGCATACCAGATGACATGACCATTCCCTATACTAATGAAGGTAAGTCAAAATATGCATTGATTGACGCAATATTTCCATCTCTGCAAATCAACGGAGCAGATTCGGATTATATCATTTCAAGGGCGATATTATCAACTAAAAATGAGAATGTCGATGAGATTAATAATCAGTTGATCGACAAGTTTTTTGGAGGTGAAAAAATATACAACTTCGACGAAGCAGAAGATGGTAAGAATAACATCTATTCGATGGAGTTCTTAAACTCTTCAACTGTTAATGATTTGCCTCCTCATTACCTTCGTCTCAAGATTGGATGCCCAATAATATTGTTACGAAATATGGATCCCTCAAATGGATTATGTAATGGTAGTAGATTGATATGCAACGGCTTTCAACAGAACGTCATCGATGCATAAATAGATGTTGGTCAGTATGCTGGAAAGAAAGTATTTCTGCCGACAATACCATTATGTTCGTCCGATGACAACATATTCCCATTTAAGCTAAAGATAAAATAGTTTCCAATTTGGTTTAGCTTTTCTATGACAATCAATAAAGCTTAAGGTCAAATGATTCTGAATGTAGGTGTTTATCTAACGGAATCAGTATTCTCACACGGGCAACTTTACATGGCGTTGTCCAGAGAGATATCACGGGGCAATACGAAGGTGTAAGTGAAACCTGTGAAAAAATTCAATCGTGCCGGAGTCACACCTCAAACGTCGTCTATCAAGAAGTTTTACGTGATGAATAAGGTATAATCAACAATTATATCATTACACATTTGGTACTATATGTTTCTATTAAAATCATTGTGCCGTTTTTTGCAGAAAATATTTACGGATGAGACGAAAACTAAACAACAGTTTGGATATACGGATGAACATTATTTATAAAGGATTGTAAGGATTGTATTTCTTTGTTCAATCAAGAAGTTCAAGTTTTGTAATGAGTTCTGAGTATATGGGTTTAGAAACTCAATACGTGTGCAATTATTTTTCTATTCAATCTTGTTAATACACCATATTAAACTTTATATGTTAGTTGACTTGCAAAATAACCATACAAACTCATTATTCAAGGCTAAACTAATGTTTCACAATTGCGATTCACTTGCGCTGCATCGCCCAGATACACCACTAGTTGACTTACAAGAGTGTTTGAGATTGCTTATTAACTTATTTGATTTTTTGACATGTAAAATTTTATATTTCATCATTTATAATAATGTATTTGACAAAAATTTATATCAATAACATTATGGAATCACACATTTTTTTTTGTTTAAATCAGTCCCTAAATCGCGTGATTGTTTAGAACAGATCATGGTGTAAAATGTGATGGCTTAGAGCATATGTGTATAAAAATCGGACAGATGCATCATATTCGTGAGAGAGCGGATTCGATGTGTAAAAATCGAGCATATTTGATGTGTAAAATTCGAACAGATGCAGATTCGATGTGTAAGAAATCAAACACATGCAAATTCAATATGCAAAAATCGAACAAATATAAAAATGGATGGTAAAAGATGAATGTATGTTAACAATTCCATCTGAAGAGAGCAGATTGTAAGAAAACAGCAGGTCGTGACTCTTGGAATCGATTTTGTTGGATGAGTGTTTAGGGGAGGTACGAGATGGAATGTCGATCAGGAGAAGCAATTGTGTTTTTTTGTGTATATATAAACCATTAGGGTATTAGAGAAGGGTTAAAAAGGTAATTTGTTAATAAGTTGAATTCGATAAGCTAGGGAGGATTGAATAATCAAAATCTGTTTATTACCGGTTTGGAACAGGTATAAAGTTTTTTTTTTCTTCTCATCCAAACATTAAAAATTGCTTATAACCGATATCACACTGGAATAAGTTAATAAACAACTTAAATAAGCAATTCCAAACACCCCCAAAAATTAAATTAATTGAAATTAAATTTTAAAGGTTAGGATAAGAAAAATTAGTCTACTTTTTATGAGAAAATATTCATTGTATTAAAACTATTTAAATATTAATAATATATGTAAGTTATTTATTAATGGTGTTTACGGTCCGGTTTAAACAGTGTAACCCCTCTTTTAATAAACGAAACCGTTAAAATCATATCACTATTGTGGTTTAAGGAATTTTTCAAACCATTAATAAGGCTGTTTGTTTTATCCATTAAAAAATTATATTGTTGAATTTATAAATAAAATTTATACAATTTCATATATTTATTCATTATCATTACGAAATTTACATCTAAATTATATAATTAGCATTCATTTAAATGAAAATATGTTATTAACGTATTCAACACATTTAAATTTCATCAAAATACTTAAATTGAGAGAAATGATCAATTAAGGTTACTTGATTGAAAAATGTTGTTGTTGAGGGTTTGAAGAAGAATAATAGGCAAATAAGATGTTGGTTTACCTCTAACCAGATAAGATGACAATAAGACATAAGTGTCTATGAAAATTTAGAAAAACAAATAGTATGAATGACTTTACCTCTTAACGAATAAGACATAAGAAGCTAATAAAAGTTTTTTTAATAAAAAACAAATAAGACCTTGGTATAAGTGAGTAACCCGGTCTATTGAAATACAAAAATGTGACCTCGCATGTGTTTCGACTTATTATTAGATTTTAACTATGTAAAAGTTCACAATATTACTTCATCTAATAAAACAAGGAATGAATTAATCTACAAAAGTGAACATTTAACGCCTTAAAGAAGTCATTCCAATTCAATTTTACCAACCCACTTTTTTATCACTAAATTAACAACTCAATTATTTAATGGCCTAATCAAATGAGAACTAGATAGTTTGTGGTAATTGTGAAGTCCAATATGAACTAATCATTTTAGATAATTAATATTATTTACTAAAATAAAACAAAAGGTAAAGTAGTAAATTGTGTTGAATATTCAATTTAATTTTATTAGTTTAATATTTCAATTTACTTTAATTAGTTTAATTATTTTAATATATGTATATATACACACACGGACAAAATCCGGTGGCCTTCTCCGGCACCCACCATCACTCTCGTGACCTCCTCCGGTCATCTTGTCTGATCAATACGCCGTCTCCGATGATCGACCACTAAACACCCACTTGTGAGCATTAGTGGCACATTTTTCTCCTCCAAACAAAACTGCATCGTGAAGTTGCTATCTCCTCCAAATCAATCACGACTTCAAGCTCTCTCCTCCAAAGGTAACGATTTTTACACACTTGATTAACGCTTTCTGCACACTTAATTCTCCAAATCGATTCTGCATAATCGATTCATGATTTCTGCACAATTCGATACACTATTTCTACACATTGTACATTCATGAGTTCCTCACGATTGTTGCACGATTTTCTCCAAATCGATTTCCTGCACACTTGATTAACGATTTGTACACACTCATTTCATTGTGTTCTTTTTTGTGATTCACGAGTTCTCCAAATTGATTATGTAGAATAGTTCCATTGATGCAAGGTTTTTGTGTTGGTGGTTGCGATTTTTCCACTTGATTGTTGTTGTTTTTTCTTGGTTTAATAGCATGTTTTTCCATGTTTTTTTGTGAATGTTGGTGTATTTTCTTTGTGTTGTTTGTTTAATAGCATGGTGCTTGTTTGTCTACATTATGATTATGTTTTTTCTCTGTTTAATAGCTTGAATGTTGGTGTATTTTTTGTGTTATTTGTTTAAGAGCATGGTGCTTGTTTGGCTACATCATGATTATGTTTGTCAAAGAAAATGTTCACCATGTTTGTTAATAGCATGATTGTTGAAAAAGAAAATGTTAAATTATGTGTTTTATTTGTTCGTTATAGAATGTTATCATCTTTATTTTTGTTTTTAAGTATGAAACAAACGGGTGAACACATAACAACGAAAAATGATTAGAATTAGTTGGAAGGATCTTAATATGGTGAAAACTTTCTTAGATAGTTGTATTCTAGAAGTTGGGTTAAATGGAAATAAGGGTACTAGCTTCGTGGAAGAAAGTTGTTGAGACTTTGAAATACATACATAATTTTGTTGTCGATCAGAAGCAAATGCGGAACCATTTCGATTATTTGAAAGGAAAATAATGTGCTTGGTTAAAGTTAAAAAAACAAAACATGTGTCTTGAAAGCGAGATTTTTGGCTCCATATAGTAACGCAAGATATTGGTTGACAGATTTTCGAAGTCAACGTGCTTGACTAAAGAAAAAAGGTTTTATCATGCACATGCCCAACTTAGGAATGTTATTGAATATGCTTACGGTGTTTTGAAAACGATATTTTTGATCTTAAAGCAGATGACTCTCTTTCCATTTACAACACAAATAAATGTGGTAATTGCTTGCTTTGCTATGTATAATTTTATCAGAAAATATAATATTCAAGACCAGTTGTTTATGCAATGCAACGAGGATATTATATTTAACAACGAAGAAGAAGTCGAAGGAAGTGGACAAGAGGAATTGGATATTTCTTAATAGGGTGCTAATAACACTCAATATATAGCTACTTTGCGTGATGGAATTGCAAATAATTTGGTCAATAATGTTTAAATTTTAAGTATTTGTGTTCGGACTTGGCTAGTTTGTGCTTGAACTTGGACTTTTAAGTATTTTATGAATTTATGTTTTGATTTTTGGATGATATCAATGAATTTATGTTTTAATATACAAACAAATTTTTTTTTGTTTTAGAAATATCATTTCCCTTCAAAATAAATAACAATTTATTAAACAGTGCATAATTTTTACTCGAGGTCAAATTGGTCATTTCTATCGTTCAGACTGTTGATTCAGATAAAAAAGTAAACAACACCACCAATTTATCCAGATAGACAAATTTATCCAAATAAACAATTTATCCAAATAAACAATTTATCCATACAAGAATTGATATAAAAGTTGGTAAACAGACCCTAAATGATATATTAGATAAATCTTTTGTTACAAGAGTCACCATTTTCACCTAGTAACACTCTCAGCTACCAAAATACATTGTTGTTCAGCCTCTAATTCATATTTTGCCGACCAATCCCTCCCAAAAGAAAGGAAAGATATTATCCACACATATTGATATGTCTATTCCATAAAAGAATACTAACCATGTAAAAGTCTTTTCCCTTGCTCACCGAGTAAATACCTTAGTTATTATCATGCCTCTTACCTGATTAAATTCTCAATCCTCACAATGATCACCCAGTAAGTAAGTGACTCGGGTTCAATAAAAAGCATGACTTTTAGTTTTTTATTTTACTCGACAACATTAAAAACACCATCTAACCATAACACATCATGATCCATGCCACGATTTGGTTTTTAAAATGTTTCATTTGACTAGCTGTTTATCAAATGATTACTGGATGAGCATTTTCTTACAAGAGTCGTCACTTTCACTTACCTTGTCGAGTAACATTCTCGGCCATCAAAATGGATTGTTGTAAGTGTCTCCTAACTGCTAGGCACAATACCATGAAAAGTCTTCTCCACCTTTACTTGGTAAGATTCTCACCCGATAATGTAAATGACTCAATAAGTGTTCCGTAAACGACCCCTAAATAGTAGATAATTGGGTGCATGACCATCGGGGATGCGACCGTGAACCACATCCTCCTTTCAAGTACACCAAGGCTGCTCATTTAGAAGAAGCATTTGCAAGTTTCAGATGAATTGACAGAAACCAAATTGCCAAATGTTAATACATTGGTTAAACCTATTCACAAGCAGCAGACTGTTCGGAAAAAAATAAGAAATGAGCAAACACAAATTGTGGGTTTCTCCAGCATACCCCAACTGCAAAATACTTGATCAAACTACCAAACAGAAAGACTCCCAATCCAGAGCCAACGAAATCACCATACGAAAATGTAAACAAGAAGAAGAAGAAGAAAAAGGAGGTGGGAAGCATGCGGTTTTCATTAGCACCTCCAACCTGCACACCGAACAACAAGAGCCCAGATCAGATTATCGGCATTTCCTGAATATTCACAAATGACGGTTGATACCTGCGGATAATAAGTCCACCAACAAGTTATATGGGTCCAAACACAATTAATCAAACAACCGATAATCATGTCACACCAAACACTTCATTATGCACAAGGCCCAGAACCTTCATCATACATGGAAAGATGCCAGTTGGATGCATCAAGAAAATGACCTTAAATGAGTTTTTAATTAAGTGCATGACCTTTTAAAAAGAAATTAATTTAAGAACCTTCAAATGTTAACCCGTAAAATCGTGAAAAAGCAGTAGAAGATTAGTTTGTGAAAATGACTTCTATATATAACTAAGGGGCTGTTTGTTAGCAGCTTTATTGGACTCCCATCTTATTCGGTTAGCTATACATGACTGTTTGGTGGTCACTTAATGATATAGAAAGTGGCATATTCAGTAAGATTTTAGGGGGGAGGTTATGCAGAAAGCCAAAAAAAATCCAAACCTGTCCTCCCAATTACAAACACGCTCCTATCTATGAAAAAAACCTCCCAAACAAAAACCTTCCCAATCTATACAAACATTATCCAAACAGGACTTAGTGGAAAACAACCAGAAACCCTTAAATAGCCCAAGAGAAACTGACAGGAGTTGTTCAAAATTTTGTATGCTTAAGATGTCATTAGGTTGAAATTTTCGAATAAAGACTGGACATAAAGGCTCTAGGTTGCAACTGAATAAGCTTATAGTAAGTTGTCCAGTATTGTGATACTTCCCACAGGAAGCATTTGCACTTTCCTTAGGCAATGTTTCATTAGTCCACAAAAATGAAAAGGGAAATACAAACCAAAAAGGATAAACATAGAAGAATTTACTTTAATCTGCCTTCTTTCCATGTCGTCTTTCTGTATGCATGTGTCAAACCATATTTTGAGTTACGATTGACTTACTTCAAGTGGAAATATAAAATTTCTCTCCATTCACCTTACCCCTATCTTACATTTCAGTGTTGCATAATTGATATATAGAACATCTTCCTGAGACAATTTTTCTTACATAATCCTCTCACAACTTGTCATATTTATGTAATCATCATCGCTTTCTGTTTTTAGTTCTACATATGGGAAGAGAGTCCTACATGGGAAATCATGTTATCTTTTCTACATTGAGGAAGAGATTGCTGCATCCGAAATCATTGCAGCAATTACATACACCGCTGCATATCAAATCTTTCTAACAACTTCGCACATGTACGCATATTCCTTCTAAAATTTCAAATAGATAGTGTAAAATATGAGAAGTATAATACATTTGATATCTAATGCCACCAAGAGATCCTACTATCTTGATACATTATTACAAATATGCATACCACGCAACACTGTAGCATTTGCATGACAGCGTATCCTGAGTAGGATGTCAGGTGTACCATGTACGTTTGTTACTGCAGAGGGGTTGTAAGCTTGTACCCAAAGGATTTAGGGTAGAAGATACTGAGAAAAATGGCATTTCATTACAGTCTTATAATTTTAAATAACTCGATCCGTCTTTACTCTTTAATGTCTCTAAGCATATAAAAGATTTCCGATAAAACCTGCAACTTTCTCTTTTTTGTTGAAGTACATAATATTTATATACGGAAAATAAAACAAATAAACTCACACACCCTCCTCACGCTTGGTGAGGTTTGAACCCTAGATCTCCTAGGAGGCCAAGGACTCACGTACCACTAGGCCAAAGGCCCTTTGGTGCAACTTTCTCTTTGCGTTTAAAATTTAAGCATAGAAGCCATAGCTAAGCCAAGCAAAGAAACTTAAAGGGATGTGACCCTCAAAGTTGAGATCACCTTTGATATCCTCCAAACTTTTTAATACTCAAATGCCCATTTAATGTTCTATAGATACACAGATCTTTACCAAATGTGGAGCAGTTCCTTCTACTTAATGTCTTAAAGTGTCAAATTCGCTAAATCAGATAAGATATGATTCTCCCTCCCAAGTTTTCACTCAAAGGAATCAGAGGCTGTTTGCTAATCAAGGGAGGTATATTGGGCAGATTGTGAAAGAGTTCAAAGGGGCTGTTCTTATGAGATTGGCATGGAAGAATAGGAAAGTGGCGCCGTCCATGATAGATAAAGACCGAATTCGGCAAGGACTTTGATTGGAAGTTCAGGTTATGGATTTGGAGATTTTTCTGGAGACAGTTGTGGAGCATATTCCTTGCTATGCTTTACTACTCTACTTCTTTGTGTTTATTTTGGTTGATAGTTGTGTGGTATGGGGTTGTCACCAAGTTTTATTCTTTTTTTTGTGCCCGTTGGTGTTTTATTGAGAACTTTGTAACCTTTTTTTGCCGTTCTTTAATATATTTGCCAGGAGCAATACTTTCCAAAAAAAAAAAAAATTTCACTCAAAGAAACTAAACACCAAAAATTAGCTATCAATAGACTAGTTAATAAGCTGATCGAGGATGATCATTTCCAAAGGCACAAGTCCGAATTTACAATTCCTCTTTTGGGACGGGTAATAGATATGACTTCCCAGCCTGTTGCATCATCTCCCACTGCCACACCCCCACCCCACCGGTTTCCTTCTTTCCCCATTAAAAGGGTTATTCATTTAAAAGAGTAGATGCCCGAAATCCTTTAAAAAGAATCCGGAGTGAGTTATTTCAACTTAGAACACACGCAAAGATTCGTTCATAAAAATTGAAGAAATCTTGATTGAAAAAGATCATCTCTTGTACAAAAATGCGTTTAATTCAAATGTGAAAAAGTAAATATATGATGAAAGATGTATAACTGCATTCAACAATCATTTCAATTAGCAAAAGAAAACAAGATATGCGTTCAAAGAACGGAAAGAATTTCAAATGAACTTGGAATTCGGAAAATACAGGATTGGATACCAGAAGATGGAACCTTATTTTGAGATGGTGGGATACATATTCAATTGGGCGTAAATCAAACAACACAACCATCGAATAAAACGAGGGAGAAAATCGGGTAACAGACCAAAAAAACTAAAATAACATACGTCGAGACACAAAATTCAAGGCGTCCATAATAAAACGAGGGAGAAAATCGCAACTTACAAATCATTTAGCAACCATTCTTGCAATGAAGTCCTCATACTTGATCTTCCCATCGGATCCAACATCAATCTCTCGGATCCACTCATCGAACTCCGCAGGCTCTAGCTTCTCCCCGATACTTGTGAGGATATGTTTGAGATCCGCAACGACGACGTATCCGGTACCGTCCTTATCGATAACCTTAAACGCATCACGGAGCTGGCGATCAAAGGGCTCCGGCTTGAGGTGCTTGGACATTAGGTCGATAAACCTGTTGAAATCAAAAGAAGATGTGAGTTTTTCCTCGGCGATTATGGACTTGAGTTGCGCTTGCGTAGGGTTTCCACCGAGGGAACGCATGAGAATCCCAAGCTCCGATGGGGCGATCTTGCCATCGCCGTCGGTATCAAAGAGCGTAAAGGCCTCTTTCATGGCCGAAATCTGTGCATCGCTCAAATCCTTTCCCATTGTTGGTCGAATTCTTCTCTGAATCGAATCGGTCTCTCGTTTTCTGTGTCTGAATTTTTACGAAGGTCTTGTAATGTAGCCGATGAATGCTCCCGGAAAACATGTGTTCGGGGACAGAAAACAGAATCATTAACATCCATCAACTGATTTGGGCCTTAAAAGCTTGGCCCATTTCCTGAAGTGACAGGCCTTATGGGCCCACTGTTTTTTGTTTTCTCATTTGATTGTTTTCAAAGAAAATATCAATAACAAACAATATTCATGTTTGAGTAAATTACATTTTTGTCCCTATATTTTTAACTTACGATTTCCTTCCTCATGATTCATAATTCATTTTTTTATATATTTGTGACTTATAAGTTATTGATATTTTCTTCCTTATAGTTTATAACTCTAAACCATAAACCAGATCAAACCTCACGTTTTTGACAGTTTTTTCGAAGCAACCAGTTGTATGCATCTTAAAGGTCGTTAAGGCGGAACGTGACAAGGTTAAAGAGAAGATGTAGGAACTGTTTGTTAATTAACGAGACTCACAATTATTCCGTCAATTATACATGATTGTATAATAGTAGCTTAATGATATAAAAAGTGGTTTATCCAGTCAAATGAGAGTTCTATGTTGGAATTTTATTTTTCAAACTTGTCTCTTCCAATTAAAAACACGTTCATTCAATTTATGAAAAAAAAAATCCTCAAAAACAGAAATCTTTCTAATTTATATAGAGAATTTGATTTAAAAAAAAAATCAATACATAACTTAAAGGAAAATCAAACACACGACTCTATAGTCTTCCGGGTCAGATCTTGATTATGTGGTTAGAACATTATGGACCAAAACGAATACAAAGTAAAAATTCAGATATTATCGAAAATAAAGTCAAACAATTATTTGTATACACGACAATTTATGAAGCTTCCGGTCAAAGAATTTAAATTGTATTTGATTTTGACTAAAAAGAAATTTATACTAAATTATAAAGTATTTGACAAATATTCTTAAATAATAATTTTTACGCATGAAATACTGTTTATTGATCCATATTACTTAATATTCGAGGTTACAAATAAAATGCGTGTTTATTAAAGCTTCATGTTTGAATTCATATAACTAACTATAGATAAACATAATCAACTACATGATAAAAATCTCATTTTAAATATAAAAAAATCTAAGAGGATAATCATTGAGTTATACTTATAATAAAATACTTAATTATTATCCTTATAAAAATTATATTATTAACCCAAAAACAAATTACTTTGTTATTAAATGTAAATTAAACTATGATAAAAAAATTTGAATTAAAAATTTTGTTATAACCAGGTTTGAGACAACCTGGGTTGAGGTAATTTATACGTGTTCGTTATGTGGATTACGTGAAATATGCATGTCTAATTAGAAATGCATGAACATGATGTATATGTGACTTATACATGAATGCATGTGGGTGAAGCATACATGAGGTTGTGCATATTTGTGATAAGATATCTTGGTGGAAACATTATTATAATATCTAAAAACTTATACCTTCGTGGTTAAGAAATCATGAATTTTATGATAAATAAACCCACCACCCAAGGTTATTTCTATTGGATAAA